TGTGAATTGCGTTTTTTTTTTTTTTTTTTTCAGTTTTGCGTTAAAATAAATTCTGTGCGTTTTATTTCTCTCCGCGTTTGCAGTTTGTTTGTGCCCGTGAGTTCACGTGCTGAAATGAGGAAACTCCACACTTATAACGTGCATTTGAAACATCTTCCCTTGTAATGACTTGTAATGAGAAGCGTTTCTAAACCTGCTGTCCAACAAAAGAGAACATTATAACATGTATATAACTTCCTTTTGTGATCTGATGTGGCTTCTTATCACAGAATGAGGCAGAAAATATATTATATACTGTAATAAAGTCTATGTCGATTAGCAGTGGATTATAAATATTCTTAATTATTATGAAAATACCCGAGATGGCTCGAAGAACACGGATAACCCATATATTGTCACAGTCCAGTGGCTTCATGTTTCATCATTCAAAATGTTTTCTTTTTATTCTATTTATTTTATTATTTTATTTTGAATCTTTTTATTCAGTTACAGCGATAGCTGGATGCCTTTGTCCATATTAGGGATTTCCTGGAATGGCATAAGTTCTATTATTTCTGTGATGCATATGTGGATTTTCTCCACATGTCTTTCTCCAGTGTACAGAAGTGTGCAGGAGTTTTTTTTGTTGTTAATTTGCTGTAAAAATCGCTTTTTAAATCGCAAAAAACACTCTGATGTGCCAAGCCATCGAAACCGAAATAATAAAAAAAACGTGGTTAAAAAAACCGAGGTATGTATTGAACCGTGGGCTATATGTTGAACGTCACCTGACCAAACCCGGAAAATAGGTCTCATCGCTTCCACTTGTCGGAGAACGTGTTAACAGCCGTAATAAATAATAGCGATATCTATGGATTTTTAAGATAATCAGTTAAACTAGCTAGCTGTTTTTATTGTTGACGTTTTATTTAATTTTTATATCTAAATGTTAGTGAAAAGAATAAAATTTAAAAACTTTTAGATATCAGTCCGCATATGTGATGGACATTGGTTATGATACTCTTTGAAGGCATCTTTAGTAAAACTGCTTCATATTTAACAAAGCATATGCCAAACGCTTGAATCGGAAGCGACGAGACCCATTTAACAGAATACAGAAGTCTGTTGCGCTTAATCTCTATTGTAGCATCCCTAGATGAATTATATATGAAGAAACCCCTCTGTTAAACCCTTCAGAATATACATAGAAATATAACTGTAAAGTTTGTTGTATGTGCTGCTGAAGTGGAGATTTCAGTCTCAGTGCAGGAGAAAAAACTCATTTTGAGAAAACGGCCTTTAAAGATATGAATTCTAATTTAAATCTACGGACACAAATAGATAAATAAAAATAAACACTTAAATGTATCTTTTAGATGTTTTCTTTCCACTAGTCTGAAAGATGAAATGTTAAGGATGCAAAATATGCCAAAATCTCAAGATTGAAGCTGTGTTTTTGCCTGTAGCGTCTTGCCTTAATAATAGTCTTTTATTCTGCCTTTTTCCTGTCAGGATGGACCATGACTGGCATGGCAGCAGGAGAAGTGGTCACCGCAGCAGACACAATGAGGATGAGGATGGTGAGAGGATCTTGGCAGATGTACCTGACCTACAAATCACTTTTTGATAAAGAAACTGGAGAGTATAAAATGTCACACCACCATGGACTCTGTTTGTGTTTTGCTCTGTGTCCCGGTCCTTGTTAGTTGTCATGGTTACTCATTGATTATGTCCAGGTTTGTCTCGTTATCGTCACTACTTCTGTTCTGTTCTCCTTGTGTGTTCATTGTCGGGTCTCGTCTCTGTGTAGCTGTTTTTGGATTGCCTGTACGTCTGCTGGATTTACCCTCTTTGGATTATTAAAGACCGTTTATTGATCGTCTTCGTGCTTGTTTACACAGCTAGTCGTGACACAAAAAGGTTAATAATAGGCTAAAAATTATTTCATTAATTACTATTGGAATGTTTTTCCACGTACACTTATGTTAATAATATTTATAATTTTTTAATTTATTTTTTTCCAATGTTAATATATCACAGAAACACATATAACATATAAACATGTATATATAACACATATTACGTGTAAATAAAAATAAATGTATAAAATACTGTAAATATATTTTTAAATCAGGGTTATTATAGTTGACTACAACTAATATCAACAAAAATGTCATTACTGGAAATAAAATAAACTTTAGCGGAAATAAAATAAAATATATCTATAAACTAACTTAAATATATACATGCATGTGTTTGTATTTATATATACATAATAAATATACACAGTATACACACATATATTATGTAAACAAAAACTTTTATTTTGGGTGCGATTAATCGCGATTAATCGATTGACAGCACTACTATAAACATATTTTATTTCAGCAACATTTCTCATTTTTGTTTAATTTAGTTAACTTGATGTGCTAAAATAGTTAAAAGTGAAATAAAATAATAAAAACTATATAGATATATTTAACAAATAAAAATAAAAAACTATAATGGTATCTCAATTATATTAAAATAACACGGATTGAAATACAATAGCTTATCTAAACTTTAATAAAAAAATTTAAAAAAAAAACAGAAGAAACTGATTCGCTGGAAAGGAATCATACTGGAGTGTGAATTATGCCATAAACACTATAAAATAGAAACTCACCTATTTTTTATTCTTTGGTTTTAGAGTCCGTCTATATTGGCGTTCCAGTGCCACGGGAATACAGAAGGAAGCGCAGACATCACAGACACACGTCACGGCATTCCCACGATCGGGACGGCCGGGAGAGACACCATAACCGCCATGAACACCAGAATCAAGAGGAACCATGTGACCCAGATGAAGGAGAGCAGGATTCAAACGAGCTCTCTGACATCAACTCCACCAGTGAGCTTCTCTTAACCTGTTATTATTATGCTGACGTAACAAAAAAGTTCTGCTAAGTAGATTAGTTCAAAAAATACAGTTCAGTGTTATTTAGTATCATTGAGATTCTGTTGGTTATTTTTTAACCCTTGTGTTGTACTGAACATCCTATTTTGGTGTTCCCATTTAAATGACTAACTTTTTGAAAAGTTGCTTGTAAATCTCTTATTATGCTATATGTGACCCTGGACCACAAAACCAGTCATAAGGGTAAATTTTTCGAAATTGAGATTTATACATCATCTGAACATTGAATAAATAAGCTTTCCATTGATGTATGGTTTGTTAGGATAGGACAATATTTGGCCGAGATACAAGTATTTGAAAATCTGGAATCTGAGGGTGCAAAAAAAATCAAAATACTGAGAAAATCGCCTTTAAAGTTGTCCAAATGAAGTTATTAGCAATGCATATTACTAATCAAAAATTACGTTTTGATATATTTACAGTAGGAAATTTACAAAATATCTTCATGGAACATGATCTTTACTTAATATCCTAATGATTTTTGGCATAAAAGAAAAATCGATAATTTTGACCCATACAATGTATTTTTGGCTATTGCTACAAATATACCCCAGCGACTTAAGTCTGGTTTTGTGGTCCAGGGTCACATATAATCATGAAATCTTGAATTCTTTTCTTTCAAGTAGCACAGGTTTTGTATTTCTCTCATTGATAGAAGCTTATGCTTCTTTGGAGTGATGATTTTGGTAATGTTCACTCAATAACTGAGGTGCCTACGATCAGTTAGTTCCGAAAAGAAATTCAAAACCTGTGCTAACTGAAAGAAAACAAGCTGATAAAAAGGTTGAATCCGAGATTTGGTAATAAATAATAATATAGCATACGGAGAGATTTATATGCAATTTTTGTATGAGGGTCATTTTTGACTGGGAACACCACAAGTATCACAAGGAGGGAAAAAATCCCCAAAAAGTACAAAAATTATCACATTTTTTTGGGGTAAGTTGCTATACTGTGTGAGCAAACTCAGGAAGTTTGTCAAATGCGATAAGAAAGATAAAAAAATGATCAAAACACAAAATGAGGGTTAATATTTTGAATAAGTTTTTTACTTTTTTAATTTTATTGTCCGTTTTTATGTACATTTTAGTTAGTTTTAGAAAAAAAATGTTTTATTAGTTATCAGTAATTATGATTCATTTTATTTCAGTTTTTGTAAATGAGAAATGTTGCTTTGGCAACTAGCTGAAATTAAAGTTACGTTTTTATATTTTATTTATTTTAATTAACATTTAGCCTATATTTTATATCACGTAACAAACATGTTTTTTTGTGGTTTTAGTTCACTTTAATAGCCCTGATATAGTTACTGCTTTAGGTTTGTTAGAAAATAACATGCATCCTTGAGAATGATTGATCTGAGGTTTTAGACTTAAATTCTGTGAGAGAGTGAGAGAGCGAGAAAGGGAGGGATCAGCAAAGCTGGAGAGGGAGAAAAACACTTGTTGGGCCTTTCATGCGTGTGGCACTTTGCCCTGCTTTAGTTTTCGGGAAAGAGCAACACTGCTGAGAAGAAAAGTTCAAGAACAAGAAGACACGCTCATAGGGAACGTGCATCTATAATGAGGGACGAGCACAGTTAACAGGTTCATCACAAAGAGGCGGAAATCAAAAGGAAGTGCGAGTGGACATTTCAGAATTGTATTTGTAGATCTCTTTCTTTCAATGAAACTTTAAACGTTGGACTTTCTGAAGGATGGAGCTGGAACAGCGTAGGTTGATGGGGTCCTTTAGTATTCAGGACTCGATACAGTCATTGGCGTCTAGTCTGGGCTCTCTGAGCACTCAACTGAGCAGCTGCGAGCAACACTGCTGAGAAGAAAAGTTCAAGAACAAGAAGACACGCTCATAGGGAAGGTGCATCTATAATGAGGGACGAGCTCAGTTAACAGGTTCATCACAAAGAGGCGGAAATCAAAAGGAAGTGCGAGTGGACATTTCAGAATTGTATTTGTAGATCTCTTTCTTTCAATGAAACTTTAAACGTTGGACTTTCTGAAGGATGGAGCTGGAACAGCGTAGGTTGACGGGGTCCTTTAGTATTCAGGACTCGATACAGTCATTGGCGTCTAGTCTGGGTTCTCTGAGCACTCAACTGAGCAGCTGCACAGGTACAGTCACAAACGCCATCATTGTCTTATTTCCTTACTTTTGCTGCCAGTTCTTCCTATTAGCTTTGTCCTGGAGAGTTTCTCTCTGGAATTGAGGTCCGAGCACATTTGGTTTGGAGTTTGACACTGCGAGATCATGACTTTGCTGAGTCTATTAATCTATTAGCAAGTTTTTTGCTGATCAGCCATCACTGAATTCACAAGGTTGGTTGATGATTGTAAGTTTAAGGACAGTCCAAATATTTTGCACCCTTGTGACATTTGAGCACATTTACCTGCAAAGTTCATTTTTCTGTAATTAATTAAATAAGTATAAATTATTTAAATGGTAAACTACATCAGGATAGCACTTATTGTACCTCCTTTTTGCAGATTTTCTTTTTCTTTTTTTTATTGTATAAAAGTAATTTGTCCACTGTTACAGAATTAAAAAAATTATAAAACCACCAAACAAAATGAAACAAAACATTTTGTTTTTAAATAAATGATTGTATTATAGTAATTTGTTTACTGTTATTATATTAAGAAAATATATATAACAACACAAAAACAAAAATATTTGAGAATAATGCCAATTACAGACAAATTCAGAAGTAAAATATTTGCATTACAATAACAAGAATTTGAGGGAAAATGTTCTTAAATGACATAATAACGTCGCAGGGCAAAAACATGAATGGTCCTAAAATAGGCCTTTTTTTAAACAAAATATAATGTATTCTTCTTAATTGCTTTTTTCTTTAATATGCAATATGAGCCACACATCAAGTTTAATGCGATTCACTCGTTGCCATGTCCATATTGTCATGATTTAAATGCAGTGATTAAATTGTGAAATACATCAAAATCCCCAAGAATGCATTTCAGGAAAGGGATATTCCTGTACGTTTTTTTCTGAAGAAGAAGAAATCAGGATTTTAAAATGAGTCCATCAGTGTTCAGTCTGAAGCGATAACTCACCTTTCCTCTCTATTCAGTGCATTTTTGAAGGTCAGCAACTAAAGATATGACTGTATTGTTGATTAATCCTATGGCAATGCATATATCAACAACCACCTTCTAATATGTCGAGACTCCATCGGTTTAATTGATTAATCAAAGTGATTCAAGTGCGTGAGCTATAAATAAGCCGCTGCGTTGTACTCTACTCTGCCTTGGCATTCTACAACCACACGTATTTGTGATTGTTACTTCAGGATTAGAAGGATTACATGGAGAAAAACACCCACGTGCTAATAATCCCGAAGAAAAGCTGGAGATCGAGAGGAAGGTCACAACAAGATTGTCATGCATGGGCTCACAAACACCGACTTGCACCATTAGTTTTGAATAATTTGCGCTAAACATCAGAGTTAATGCACATGACATTAGATTGTGAACAGGTTTTAGTAGCCCACACTGGAGCTTCTGTAAGTTTACTTTACCTAAAATATAGTGTGGATGAATTTGATTAAAGCACTACAGGTCTGTTGATGTTAGATGTTGATTCTGGCATCGTGCATCAGATTAGAATAAGCCACTGTCACATGGTTATTCTAAATTAATCTACCAAACAAATTATTTTGAAATGCTTTCAGATATCAGCCTGCTTTACGAAGAGATTTATGCACATTTCGACAGTTCAAGATATTTCTCTTCAAAGGAAGATTGTTAAGATATTTATCTTTAAACAATATTGTTGATTTGATTCTGACTTTATATGTCGCGTTATCGGCTGACGCGTGAATCAAGCTGAATTCAGAGCATTCTCAGATCTGAAAGCTCAGGCTTTTGAGATCAGATTCTCGTTTTGATGAGACACATGTTTGGCGAAGAATGATGATGGGATCATGGCCTCGGGAGCCGTACATCATAATGGTCCTGCTCTGTCATATTCAGATTTCATTTCAAGCGGGTCAGCACAGGGTCAATTCAGCCTGAGCCGAAGGCAAAACATAACACCCAGACTTATACGTCATACAGTCCAATAGGCTTCTGTTTATAATGCGAAGAATCAAACCCGTTTGTTCAATTAGGAGGTGTTGAGCTATAGCCTATTATTATTGACCTCTTTTGCATGGACACGTTTGCATTTTTATTTGCTTACTTTTTCATGCTTAATTGCTTGCAATGTTGCTTGTTGGATAAAAGCATCTGCAGTTTCTTTTCAAAGTTATATGATTTTCCCATTGCAGTTTATGAAAAAATCTAAATTGTATTTGTTCTGGACCAAAGCAAGCGAACTAGCGGACTTTCCTGGTGTGAATACACCCTTTAATGATACTAAAATAACACTGCAGCCTTGATGAGCATAACAGACTTCTTTCAAAAACACCAACATATCTTACCAACCCAAAACTTTAATGGTAGTTTACATATTAGATAACAAGGTCTCTTTTGATTTGGAGTAAGCAAGTATCTAGCAATGCCCTAGCAACCACACAGAACAGCCTAGCAACTGCATAGCAAGAGGTTAAGAACCATCCACATCAACCTAAACTTCTGACATCGAGTTTATACATTGAAAAATCTAGTTTATTATTTATAGCATAGTAGAGAGAATACATGAAGTGATGTGGAAAATGAGGGAGAGGTCAAATCAGGAACGGTTGCAAGCAAGATTCAAACTTCCCTCACCCACAAGACTCGATGTATTGTCATGTAAACTAACTTCTGATGCTTGTTTTGCTTAGTTGCATTGCTCACATACTATATATATACTACAAATATTACTCTTGCATTTGAAGGTAAATGTATATCTTTGTAGTATCTTAAGTGTGTGTGTGTGTGTGTGTGTGTGTGTGACAGTGTCTCCTGCTGCAGAGAGACTACGCCACATCCTCAGAGAGGAAGATGAGCCCACACCCACCCTCTTCACTGAGATGGACACACTGCAGCACGAGGGTGGGGAGATGGAGTGGAAAGAGTCGGCCAGGTGACACACACACACACACACACTGAAGCCCTTGTGGCATTATTTAAAACATGAAAAGGTATGAGTTGAGAGACTCATCCAATCCTATTAGCTTTGTGCCTTAATGTCAGAGTTGAGCTTAATGACTTCCAGTATTCATTTATTACATTTACATTTTATCCAAAGCTACTTTCAAAAGAGCAGCAAAAGCAATTTGTCAAAGAGCCAACAATAATCATAACAGAAGAATATTATACTTTAGAAGTTATATTGTGTCATTTATCTGGCCCTCGTGACAGTCACATTTATATATTAACATCTATTCATCAATTTGCATTTCTGTAGACATGGTTTTGTTACTTATTTGAGATAACAGAGATAACTTCTGTATTACATTCTGCATATCTTAAAGGTACAGTAACAAAAACACACAGTAACACTTTACAATAAGGATCCATTTGGAGCATTAGTTGACATGAACAATAAAAAATACTTGTAAAGAATTTATTAATCTTCAAAAGTTCATGTCAATTTCTAAATGTACTAATACATTATTCAAATCTAGTTGTATCTGTTAATATTATTTAATGGACCTGACATGGAACTAACAATGAACAGTTTTATTACAGTAAATATTACAGTTTATAACAGTATTTTATTAACTAACATTAGCAAATATAAATAAATACTGTAACAAGTATATTGCTCATTGTTATTTCATGCATTAACTGTTAACTAATGCAGCCTTATCGTAAAGTGTTACTTTTTAAAAGGGGACTTATTGATTGTTGCCATTATTCCCAGCCATTTAATTTACACATTTAAAAACCCAAAAGCTTTTCATCCATCTGCTGGTTCTTGGGAAAAAAACTGTCAAGGTAACATTTGTAGAGTCGCATCTTCTGTGTGTTTCATTAGGTGGGTTAAGTTTGAGGAGAAGGTGGAGGAGGGTGGAGAGAGGTGGAGCAAACCGCATGTGTCCACGCTGTCTCTGCACAGTCTGTTTGAGCTGCGCACCTGCCTGCAGACGGGCTGCATCCTGCTGGACCTGGAGGGCTATTCACTGCCGCAGATAGTGGGTCAGTGAGAACTACAAAAAGAGTAAAGAACAGACCCCCATTGAATCTGGGATCTGGGATCACAAAGATCCCAAATTCTGATTATTAATATTCCATTTTATAAACATACACTACGGTTTAAAAGATGTTTATTTGAAAGAAATCAATACGGTTATTCAGCAAGGTTGCATTAAACTGATCAAAAGTGACAGTAAAGACATTTATGATAGATTTCTATTTCAAATAAATGCTGTTCTTCCAAAAAAGAACTTTCTGTTCATCATAGAATCCTGAAAAAATGTATAATGAAAAGTATTAAGCAGCACAACTATTTTCAACATTGATAATAATCAGAAATGTTTCTCGAGCAGCAAGAATGATTTCTGAAGGATCATGTGACACTGAAGACTGGAGTAATGATGCTTTGATCACAGATATAAATTTCATTTTCAAAATTTTCAAATAGAAAATTGTAATATTTCACAATATTACTGTTTAAATTTTTTTATGAAATAAATGCAGCGTTGGTGAGCAGAAGAGACTTTTAAAATGTAAAACTTTCAAAACTTTCAAAAATCTTACAAATCTCAAACTTTTAAAAAGTACTTTATATTGGCTAATTTGATTATGCTTCTAGCTACTAATAAGAGTGTCTGTTTAACATATTTTACTAAATTTAAATATATTCCTCAGAATTCCACACAGTTTCCATCCGAATTAGCACACATGATGCAAAGAAAAAAAGTTTAAAAAATTTCGATTCGAAAATGATAGTCGAAATTGTTGCTCAAACATTGATCTTTTAAACTAAAGATATTTAATAGGGTTTTGAGATATGTTTAATTGAAGTATTAACTTTGTGTCACATGTTTCTCATACAATTTCTGAGAGGAAATAAAAACAGAAACAAATGAGACTTACTTCACATACAGTAAGACTATAGATCTGTTAATATAGAAGGCAGTGTGAATCATGTTAGAAAATCTGAGCACAGTTTGAGATATTGGTGAGGGAAAAAAAATCACACATGTGAGATTACTGGAGTCTTTTCCTCAGGAGAAACATCTGAGAAGCAGGAGCCATCCATATGCTCCATAAAGGGCCGTCCTTAGCTGACGCGGGGCCCGTTCGCCATGGGGCCCGGTGCGACCGCACCAGTTGCACCCCCCTAAGGACGGCCCTGGCTCCATATAATCTCATTGCTGTCTAGGAAAAACAGCTGAGACCTAATGTGTGATTTTTTTATTTCCAATGAGTTTTTCCTGTGTTATTTAAAAATGTGTTTTTCTGCCTTTCACAGATGACATCATTGAAAAGCAGGTGCAGGAGGGTCTTATAACTCCAGAGATCCGTGAGAAGATCAGTTTTGTCCTCTTGCGGAAACACCGACACCAGACCAAGAAGCCAATCCACCGCTCGTTGGCGGACATCGGAAAATCCAGCCCCTCGAGTGAGTGTCCGCTATCTTACCTGTCCCACAGTCAGTGATTTTCCCAGGATTCCCTGTCTGTTCTCTGACACTTGTCTTTTCAAATCATTTCTTATGAACTTTTTTTTCTTAAAGTGGTCATATGATGCGATTTCAATTTTTCCTTTCTCTTTGAAGTGTTACAAGCTCTTGGTGCATAAAGAAGATCTGTAAAGTTGCAAAGACTAAAGTCTCAAATCCAAAGAGATATTCTTTATAAAAGTTAAGAGTCAGCCACGCCTACCTAAAACGTCTACACAGCATCACAGTATGGTAAGGGGCGTAACATTTCTGTCACACGCTTGAGGTATTCGGCCAATCACAACGCATTGGATAGCTGGCCAATCACAGCTCACCTCGCTTTTTCAGACCGATGAGCTTTGTAAAAATCGAGGCGTTTCAGAAAGGCGGGGCATAGAGGAGAAACAATAATGTACAGTATGTGGAAAATAATGTGTTTTTTTAACCTTAAACCGCATAAACACATTTCATTACACCAAATACACAAAATAATGTTCTTTTTAGCAACATCATATGACCTCTTTAAGTTTCCACTTTGCTCTTTTGCCTGTCCTGCCATCTTGATCATGTCGTTCTCTGTGTCTGATCTCGGGTCTGCATCAGACCGCAGTCCGAACCCGAGTCCTCGCTCTGGGTCGGGTTTCCATCGCTCCACTGAGGACCTGCGAGCTCATCAGAGCGGCGGCCTCAGCAAACTGCGTGAGTCTGGCCTTCTGTGTCTTCCCCCTTCCATAGATTTATCTACAACTACTTCCGGATCTCTGGAATTTCTAATAACCGTCTCAGGTTTTGTCGCTTTAAATCACCAACTCTCATTAAAAATGCTAATTGCAGTCAGTGTGAACACCTTTTAACCTCACATAGCATCATCCACACACTTAACTGCTTGTAGTTGCACAAGAAGGTGAGCAACATTTCTCCAAGTATGCAGCAGTGCGTTCCTGCCATTGTTCTGAGGATTAGAGATTATTAGAAAGGTCTTGACTTTGGTTTTCCATTCTTGTTTGTTATGATTTGTTTCTGTACTCTGGGTACTTTAGGCCAGAAAAACAACATTGTTTTTTCTTGTCTCTAAAGAAAAGTTACTAAAACGAATGTGTCTTCTTTTTTTTTTAAGTGTACTAATGCAATATGTTTTTTTGCAGTACCTTTTAAAAAACATGATTGCATAAAATATGGACTTTCCAAAACTTCTCAAGCAAATGTGACATTTAGAAGTTTAAGATGTGTGGCACATGAATTTTGTAATCATAAAATCACATGGTATATATCAAATTAACACGGCATTACCATCTGAATCTGATGCATAATGATTTGTGATTCATTTGTTGCTATATTTGGCTTTGCCTTTGACAGTGAAATCACATCAACACAGAAATTACATCAATAATCTATTTAATTTTGTGTTATTTTAGTATTATTTATATTCTATTCTATTATTTATTCATATTTTGAATTATATTTTATTTTTATATTTTCCATTTTTATTTTAATTTTAGTTTTAGTAATTTAGTAATTTTAAATATTTCTATTTAGATTTAATTTATTTTCATTTCCATTTTAGTTTTAGTAATTGTAGTACTTCTGATTTAAGTTATTTTACGTTATTTTAGTTTTAAGTATTTTTTTTACCATCTACTTTATATTTTGTTATTTTTCGACTTTATTTCTATTGATTTACTAGTGTTAGTTTTAGTTAACAATAACAAAACTGATTAAATTGATAATCAAAGTGTTTCATCTGTGCTTCTCAGATCCTTCTCAGTGCCGCAGTATGAATGATATTTGCGTCACACCCAGCACCGACCAGGTATGGCATTTTCCAATTAGTATTCCAGGACCATTGCTGTTTTTTCACATGAACATATTGAAATACACTGAAAATTTATTTATTGATTAGCAAAGAGTAAACAGGATGATTTTAGAAACAAAAGCACTGCATCAGGGGTCTTATTTATGTGCGTTATGTGGAAAATTTATGCAGGGTAATATTCCATATAAGTCACTCAAATGCCGCCAGCAGTTGTTTGTCTTTTTGTAATGTTTTCTTCATTTTAATGTGGTGCAATAATGAAAAGCAAAATAAGAAATACACAGTAAAGCACTTAGTTTTGCCAAAGTATTTTGAGGCCATTGCAGGGCTTTAGTGTTTGTGCAAGAAGGGTTGCTGGTGCCGCTGCTCTCGGCTTGCTAGACTTCAAAGTGAGCCAATTCTGAGTCCACTTTAATGAGTTTTTTTCTGCTTAAAGTGACACCCATGACTCACTTTCATGTGTTCACTGCCCTCGACAGGCTTCATTTATGCCTTACAGGAGCATGTGTCAAAGTGGCAATATCAAGTGGCATTTGTTTTCAAAAAAAGACAGCACAAGCACATTTTTCATGCTAATCAGTTTGAGTTAAGTTAGCTATGAGGAACTGACTTCATGCATCCACTAAAAATCAGGTGCTCCAGGTAGTTATTGCAAGAATGTGAAATTAGTTCTGAGAAAAGCTGAGAAAAAGAGAGAATTTCCACTTTTAAGTGAGACTTAAGTGTCCAAATGTCAGTTTTGATGTACATATATATACACCGTAACAGCAGCAAATGCTCTGACAAGAGGAAAAACAGGGTCGGGACATGAGAAAGGAGCTTGTTTATTCATTGCAGAAAGTGAATTGACTCTGAAAGTGGCATTAAAAGATTAAAAGCTGATTTTGACCATAAGCACAGACCATTCCATTTGCCACCGTTGCCAAGTGGCTGTTTTCATTGGATCACGTGGGTGCGTTTGCATGCTCGGTCTTCCTGCTGTGATTGCATAGCTTTATTGATCTGCCATTGGAAAAAATGAGGCACTTCCCATTTCCATCACATGCAGGCACATGGAGCTCATATTGATACTGGTATCATGAATGAGGCTGTTGTGTGAACTCTTTCCAACATGGAAATTTCATGACCTACGCATCTCAGCACTTCAGACCATGTGGTCTAATTAAACCCACTCATCCGTGATCCCTAACTGGATTGTTATTCCAACCACCAGCTGAAGAATAAGTTCATGAAGAAGATCCCCAGAGATGCCGAGGCATCTAATGTGCTGATTGGAGAGGTGGATTTTCTAGACAAGCCATTTGTGGCCTTCGTACGTCTGGCTCAAGCCGCAACGCTAGGAGGCCTTACTGAAGTCCCTGTGCCAACAAGGTGATCATCCCAAAACAGTCTGTATACGTTTTTTTGGCTGTTTAAATAGCTAATAGCCTTTAGTTTCACAACACAGTCTGACAAAACAACACTTGTTCCATAGGTAAAGCAAAAAAACAATAAATTCCAGACATTTCAGTCACAGAGACCCCAGCAAATTATGATTGTACATTAAAAAAAATAATAATAATAATGGTTACACTTTATTTCGATAGTCCACTTTAGACATTGTACTAAGTAACTATTTTTTTTATATTTTTTATTCATTTTACAGAAAGAGAAAGAATAAATTTTAAATGTGTATTTGCTTTACGTTTTAATGAAAGACTATGTGGATTTTCCAGGTTTCTCTTTGTGCTGCTCGGTCCCAATGGCAAAACCAAATCCTACAACGAGATCGGTCGGGCCATGGCTACACTCATGGTTGATGATGTAAGGGAAAATCTCAGCAATTCTGAACCCTAAAATTAAGTATCATCACAGTATTTTTTAGCAAATCTGTCTGTATCTGCCACCATATTTAGCTGTTCAGCGACGTGGCCTATAAAGCCAGAGATCGTGAGGACTTGATTGCTGGGATTGATGAGTTTTTGGATGAGGTGATAGTTCTTCCTCCTGGAGAATGGGACCCCAAGATCCGCATCGAACCCCCGAAGAAACTGCCTTCAGCAGAGATGAGGTATTAAATCACGAATCTACACTACCATTCAAAAGATTGGGGTCAGTACATTTTTGAAAAGAAATTGATCTTTTTAATTCATCAAGAATGCATTAAATTGATCAAACGTGACAGTAAAGGCATTTATAATGTTAGAAAAGATTTAATAAATAATAACGCTGTTCTTCTGAACTTTCTATTCATCAAAGAATCCTGAAAAATGTATGATGGCTTCCACAAAAATATGAAGCAGCAGCACAACTTTTTTCAGCATAATAATCAGAAATGTTTCTTAATCAGCATATTAGAATGATTTCTGAATGATCATGTGACAGTGAAGACTGGAGTAATGATGCTGAAAATTCAGCTTTGCATCACTGGAATAAATAATATTTTCAAACAGTTATTATAAACTGTAATAATAATGTTTACAAATATTAGTATTTTTCATCAAATAAATGCCTTTGTGAGGAAAAGAGACTTCAAAATCATTAAAACGTCTAAACGGCCCAAAACTTTTGAACTTTACTGTATATTTGCAGCAACATAATAGAAATATTATGTTTATACACTGCATTGTTAAAAATATGGAGTGAAATATATTTTGTAATCTAAAATATGTACTTCATGTGGTAGAATCTAAATTAACTGGCTTTAATCAAGTAAAAAATATTATTTAGTATTGATTCGGTCATATTAAATATTACCTTATAAAACGGATAGTTCCGGTCCTTGATTCTGATTGGTTGAGCCGCGTTCGAAGCTGTTGTAAATTACTCTACAAACATACACCTTTGTTTACTTTGTGTGTTGCTTGGCAACCACTTTGTTGCAACCACAACTGTTTCTGAGGAACTACATTGTTTGGTGGAAGAATACTGTTTTTATTTATATCATTACTAGGGGTGCTCCAATCAGGATTTTTGAGGCCGATCGCCGATCACAGAAAGCAGTATCTGCCGATACCGATACCGATCTTTTTAAAGCCTTCTTTTTATCATTTATAACTATTTATAGTGATACTCCAATCAGGATTTTTAACACAGTAGACTTTAATAATATGCATTTATGGTGTAATTACTACATTTTCGTGTCAATCCATGTTCATATTTACTGCAAACAATGCGCTGTTACTTTAATTCAGCGCTTGCAGCGCAGCAATACACTCAGTGTGGAAATGATCTCTGCAGTGCTGCAGATGCACCGATCCTGAACGCACTGCCGGACCGCAACCGTGTGCAGTGAACGCTTTAATCTGTTAACATGAGCGTGGAAAAAATACGCACCACATACGCACTGCAAA